CTGCGCAGTAACTCTCCCACACAGACAAGCTCTCAGGCAGCATAGAGGCAAACAGCAATTCCAAAAGTACTATGAGCTGCTTTCTTCAGCCCACTGGGAAGTGAATTGAACATGATTATGTAGCACTGTGGTATTTCATCTCAGTACTACCTTTTACAAGTGCTCTTGAATTAAACAGAGATATTTGATTATCGTAAAGCCAAACACATGGTTTGGACAGAAAGAGAGGCAATCTTCCTTTTTTAGATTTGATTACCTTAACTTAAAGAATCTCACATTTTTGGCTTGCTTGTCTGTGGTACAAAAGCTCTTAAAATGCGTTAAAGCTTGGTTTGCTCCCTACATGGCAGCATTAAACGAGTGGACATAATGATGAAAATGATATCTGCCTTTGAACCAGAATGTATTAATAGCTATATATTTGTACAGTAACTGAGTATTAAAAAATATGTTTGGCTATGTTTTGCCTAGCCAGAGAAGAAAAATCCTCCTTGCTCTGCATTATGGCTTATGATTTTCCCTCTTTCACTTTGAAGTTTTGTGGTTTTTCATACAGCATAGTCATTCTCCTCTTATCATTCATGACAGGTGCTTCTAAGATGAGCAGGCGTTCCCACTTGCAGTAAGAGAAACATAAATTTAGATATGAAGAGTCATACCTAGTTAACTGGATTTTTAGGGTTATAGTAAGGACCACGTTATATTAAGCCCCAATCTCCATGCAGCTCCTGTGGACATCTACACAAATTCCACAGTGAATGATAGGCAGACAATGATTCTGGAATAGTCTTTTTATGAATGCAAAAGAAGAACAGCCATGAAGAGCCTTCAAGCTCCCCATATCTAGCTCTTGTGCCAGCATTAGCAAGTTTAGACCCAGATTAAATTACAACTATAGCTCACTGAAATAACCCACTGAAATAACTGTTCTAAGACAGCCCATTGTGAAACATATACGAAGAACTTTTCCTGCAAACATATAAAACCCTGTATATAACGGACTAGTTTTACAGATGATTTTTTTCCGAGGCCTTAAAAGTAATCGGATGTCCAAGAAACAGAACATATGATCTTGAGGCTGAAGCAACATCAGTAGATTCACAGATAGCTAGGTACACATACAGGAGGGACACTGTGTCTGCTAAGATAGTCTCATTATAAATAAGTGGGTAAAATGACTCTAAAGTCTATTGATGTTCCTTGTAAAAGACTTAACAGCGTTTGTTGTGATGGTGCCAGGTCAAATTGTAAGATGATAAACTCTAAGATAAAGCTTACTGAAAACAAAATAAACACTCACTGTTATCATATTACGTAATTTGGATGTGCTATGTTTTTAAGGATTTTCCTTCCTGTCTGTTGCCATTCAGTTCCCAAGTTGCTCTTGCTGCCTGTGCTCCTTTTAGTGACTTGACACTGGTATTTTATTCTGGTGTTCAAAGCTGCTGCACACTGCTGTATATTCACAACTCCTACTACCCATGCATGGATTGACTGGTACTTTAAAGTAGCTTGGGTATTACCTTTTCATAAGGCCATTTATCAGTATGGAGGAAAGAAATAAGAACTAACACGGGGTAAACTTGGCTTTAGTGACTAAGAGGTTCATGGGAAGCTGTAGAGGTATGCATCCTGCACATGAAGAAACAACATTATTTGAAATAACGTTGCCTCTTCAAATCAAACAAAAACCTTATACTATCCCGCAAAAAAAGACTTCTTCACCTTCCCAGATCGCCCACAAATAAATGCGTTTTTCTCTTACATACTTCCCGCATCCCTACCACCCTTCCTTCTATTTGCTATATAGCTGCCTTCTATTGGCAGTGAGTTTAAGAGTTAGGGGAATTAGTATCTTAAGGCTGAAAAGAAAGGCAGTTGCTGTGAAATTGGTGAAGTTGCTGGATAGGCTGACCAGCAGGAGGGAAGGGGTGCCGTATCTCCATCTCCGCGTCTCTCCACTGATGGAAAATAGACAATATTACCACAGTGCATCAGGGAGGATCATCTTGAGCAAATAAATGAGGATCATACTGTTCTGTATTATGGGAAGCAGTACTACGGAAACCAAGAGAAGCTGGCCATGGCATGGAACTATGACCATAAGCTGTCGTGTGTCCTGACATCAGCAATTTTGATACAAAACTGTCTCTGGTGAGAGCAACAGCCTGAGTCAGCCTGCCAGCACGTAAACAGGAGTAGCTCTAGACTCAAAAGACAACGCATCTGCAAGACTGGGAGTGAAGCAATCCTTTTCATGATGAAATCTCCTGAACAATCAAAAAATCACCCTGTCAGCAAGTGGCCCAGTTCACAAGTGTACTAATTATGCCATTACACGGTTATTTTAAACTGAGAGTATGACAAAATGTTAAAATAGCTATACAGCTACAACAGACTTCTAGTGTTTTGTATCATTCCCAATCGCAAAGTATTATCTGATTAAATGGTACTGCAAGCCAACCCCAGACTACTCTTTTGGTTTATCCATTTCTTGCATTATTTTTCATGATTTTTCCTCCTCTGATCTGGAATACTAACATTCCTGACAAAAGTTTACCATTAACCAAAAGCTGGATAATCTCTGCCATGATTAAGTAACCTACCAGTCGCATATGTCACCTAAACTGGTTTGAGATGCAACATTTATTTTGGAAATGTTTTTGTAACAATGACTATTTCCTGATGGGAGGAAGGAAACTAAACTGGATTATGATGGAACATCAAATGCCAAAGAAGGGCACTCCCGGAAAAAACATCAAAACCAATCCAGATTATTTATATGATTTCATACATCTCAAACGAACATTGTTAGAGAATTAAGTCTGAAACATGGATTTTTTTTTCAATTCAAAAGAAAAAAAAGGATTCCCAAGCATGATTTTTTTCTCTGAAACCGATTTACAACCTTTTGGTATTAACAAGCATTTTGTTCAGTTGTTATGCTATAGTAGAGGCAGCTCAGCACATTATTCTGAAAAGAAACAGCAAGCTCCTCATGACATAATGGTCAGGGCAGAGGGACCATTTTCCCCTCTTTCTTATTTTCAGTTCCGATTGGAGGGATTATCTTTTCATTGAACAGTTAAATAGTTTCTCTGGAACCAAATGTTTGACCACAGGCTTGCTAACCAACTAGAGAGTCAAACAGCTGTTAATTACAAAACACAGACCAATTCAGAAACCCAGACACCTACGTTATTTTAACTAAATGGGAAAGTTAGACTAGATGAAATAGATGAAGATGTATGGGCCTTAGAATCTCAAAAAAACTTTAGAAATACAATGGGGTGCCACCTTTTAAGAAACAAATTGTACAGGATTATGAATACCAAGCTAAACGTTCTCCCAATTCTCCTCACACTTCCAATTACCCAAACTAGGAACCCAAACAACCTTCAACACCACTTTACCAGTCTACATCACCTCCTCAAACTGGCATCCCTTCTTCCAAGCTCTGTTTCCACTCTATATCCTTACCTAGAAGTTCAGGTCCCAGCACAGCCTCAAGAGTACATATAAGCGCAATTAGCCACTACCCCTTACAGGAAAAAGGTACTTCAGAGCTACACATGACACATACAAATTTCACTTGGACAATGTAAAAGAGGGTGTAGCTACCTAACCTCACATGTACATGGGAAGAATCTGTGCCTGGAAAGCTACTGCAGAGAATGGCAGATTAGTGGAGTAATGGGGACAGGATTGGACAGCCCAGGCCTGCAAGACTCCAGGTGGATTGCTATGCTGAAGGCTCGCTTCATGCATTTGTTTTATTGTAGCTAAAGAATGTATATGCTTTATATCGAGTAAGTTTAAAATCACTGGAGAAGATCAGAAAACTGTAACATATCAATAGATCAGAAGGGGGAAACTTTTAGGAAGATGTCTCCACTTAGAGGATGGATCTTGTTTCCCTAGCAATGCACAAGGGTAAACACTTTTTAACATTTAATTTACTGGTATGTAATTAAATTGACAACCTAAAAAACCCAGACAGAGGATCCACAATTGCACATTCATGTCAAAACTGTCCAGTCAGTCTTAAGAGACATAAGTTAAGTTTCTGCCAGGTGACTAACCAAAAAGTAGACATAGATAATGCTTCTAACTGTACACTGGTCTTGGTTTCTTATTGTTATTTTATTACTGTATTGTTATGCATTGCTGCAGTGCCTACAAGACCAAGGCCTCATCATGTCAGGGGCCATACAAATGAAAACAATAAAGAGATAGCCCATAATAAAAAGAGCTAAAAATGCACTTAGTTGATCTTCACTTCTTGAGGAGTTTTCACATTTTGTTACACTCATTGCTTAAACCTTTGTAACCCTCACCTGCAATTTTGATTTGCTTGTATGCAATTTACTTTTTATTTAATTGGGTTTAATATATACAATTCCCAAAACTTCTAAAATCTGTTTTGATTATGCAACAGGACAGACATCAAACTGCTATTTGTTCACTTGAATTAATTCAACTTTGTAGGCAAAGTGTTTTGCAGGCAGAAGCAATATCACTTTAGCCAGGATCTAAGCCAGCTTCATGCAAGAAAGTTCCAGCCATATTTACACCGAGCCTGTGCTACAAATTCTGCAAAAGGCACCTTACCTAGAGAAAATGACTTTCTGTTCACACCGGATAATCAAATGAATTTTTCCAATACTTTATTTTCCTGACTCTCAGATAGTCCTGAACTATGTGTACAGCAACATTTACAATGCACTGGGACAAACCTTGGAAGTCTGGAGTATGCGGCTAGTGTTTAAGATCTCAGCTTTAATCTGATCACTTACAACAGGATAGTCAGTATCTACTTCCTTCCATCTGATGATCCTTGCACCATTTAAGTTTTAGATATATTCTCCTTTACTCCTCTTTACAACAAAATGAGAAATAAGTCATACTTACATCAATTCGAACCTGTTTTGTTACACATTTCCAGAGTTTTATGCAAAATAAGCCTTCCCTGCACATTCAACTCATTTTCAACTACCTACCTTCTGCATTAAGATGCATGGTTTCCAGAGGTCCAATAAATGCATATCTCATTCCCAATCCATCAGACATCACAAGGTCTAGATCAGTAGGAGATACTACTCCTTCCTAAATAGTAAAAGTAGAATAGGAAAACTTGTCAACGCTACGTTTTAATACAAAATTGCTTGACTTTTTGTATATAATTTTGGAAAATTTAAGAAGCAATAGAAACTAAGGCCAGAAATAGTAGTTAGTTTGCAAACAGACCTCTTTGCCAGAAACGTGCATCTATTATACAAGCCTTCCTATGGTGTAGTGTAAACCACCACCAGTAGCGTAAACTAATTTGCAAAGCTTTTTTAATACACTGGTAGGAATGTTGCACTGTAGAATTCAACACTTTGGACAATATTTTATATTTAAATTTTAGGGTAGATTACACATTATTTTGCATGCAATATGTACTATCTGTACATACTTGTTTGTCTGATACTTATTACTTACAACAATTCATGTGCTACAGTTAAATTGAGCTGTTTATGTTAACTAACATATTTTTCCTTAGAAACTGAGAATCAAGAAGACAGAGTTAACATGACAGTCTTAATACTAAATGACCAAAATAGTTTTAGCTAAATTCAAGTACTGTACCAACACTTTTAACTATGGAAGTTTTGGCTCCCTTCATATTCTCCTAGTTCTGGATTTTAATGCAGAATCATTATTCTGACAGAATGGCAGTGCAGAAGTCTGTGCCACCCCTGAAGCCACCTGCACAAGTTGATCAAAAAAGACTGACCAAACCCACAGGCAATACAACTGCCACTCCCTACCAAATAACTCATTAAACATTCAACCTACTCAGCCTCAACCTGCCCAGGTTCTTGAGTTCACTGCTAGCCTCAAATCCCAGAGCTGGCAGGATATGGAGCACGCAGGATGAAGAATTCTTCCTGTTAAAAGCTGAGCATTGCTGTTACGCCCATATGGTATCACTGACAAGAAGGCCAACACCCCCATCAGGTTAGGGCAAGCACATGAAGGCTTATAAAAAAGAGTTACAGTTCATTGCCTTAGAACTTTACTTGAGAAGAATAATATTTATTATATGAGGTTGTTTTTCTACTTATTTGAAAGATATGAACTAATACCTGTTCTACTCACTTCTATCAGATAAAACTTGGTTTCAAGAAGTTGTCCTCTTTATCCCAGGCGACATAACAACATTTCCTTCTTGTTGTTAAGAAGGCTGGAGAGATGCTGAACTGCTTCTACTTTGTCTTCTTACCCTACACTGAGACGAAAAATCTTCCCTACCTGCCTTCTCTGTGCCTCTTTCTCCAGAAGTCCCTTATGAGCTGCAGAATCCAGGCAGGTATACTCATCTGCTTGGCCAAAGAGAGGACTTTTTCTGTTAACTTTCCCTCTCATCGGATCCAGTCTGACATGCGCCCTTCATAACATGGCCACAAAGGACAGAACTTTCCTTACCAATTGTAGACATTGACATCTGAACTTAAGACATCCAGTCTCCCTTTATAATCACTACAGAGAAAAAGGCAACTGGCATCCTAAAGCAGGCACCTAGAATAGGTCAGATGAGTTGTGTCCTAAAAGGTCCTAACCTTCTTTACCAGCTGAAAAACTAGAGCTAGGAGCTTGGATCTCTATGTCTACTCTGTAGAAACCTCAGCTTAAGTGAGCTGAATCCCACCCACAGCATCTCCCTGTGTTTATCAACCACATAACCTCCAGAATGCTATTACTTTGAAAGAAAATGATAAGCCAAGGACCAACATAACCTCTACAGCTGGCCACAGAAATCAAGATTCATCATCAAAGACTTAAACAGAACCTTTTAAAGGACTCAGCCTCAAGTCTCAATTTGCTAGTAGGCATTGATCAAAAACAAGCCTGGCTGAATCACTGTTGCAGGTGGTTTTTGAACTCTATCTTGAAAAGGAAATTATAGTATTATTATTAAGATCTAGCCAACATATTTGGAACACACAGCTTTGGTAGCAATTCAATTAGACATAAAGTGGCAGGGATAAGGAAATAAGGAAGTACTATTTTTTTTTACTTAAAATTAAGGCACAGCCATGGTAAAGTGACTTGTGTAAAGGCAGACTGGAAGGTCTGTGTAAAGGCAGGAACTAAAAGCAAGCCTCAGACTGTCTTCATATTACAGAACCAGTGCCAGCAGGTCTAGTTCAGGCACCATATGCTCTGTGAAAGAGTTTTTTCCCTTGACATGGTAAAACAACTTATCTGAATTACATAAGCAAAGTCAACAAAAGCACTCTTCTGTGGGAATAGCTTCATCTAAACAGCATGTTATGCTGGTAAAGCTGTGCTTAGTGGGTGATTTTTTTTTCTGGCTGACACGGATTTGTGGGCAAAAACTTAACCACAAGAACCAAGTTCCGGACAGGCATCTGAAACACAGTAGTAGTTAAAAACTGTAAACATAACAGTAAAGAGTTAATAGGCTAGATAAGACTCTAGGAACGCTTCAGAAAGATTGCAAATTAATTAAATGAATGAATTAATTAATTGAATAAATGAAAAAATTCATTTATTTCTTCTGATACTGTTGTCCTCAGTTTCAATGCTGGCATTTGAAGATCAAGTGCCCTCAGTATCACAGGCTGAGTGCTTTGCTCTTGGCCTTTTGGCTATAGCTGTAAATTTATGGCTATAGCTTCTAAAAGACAAAAATTGGTACTAACAGAAGGAAAGATCATGACAGACCTCTCCAGTTGAGGTCTCATATTATTCTATAAATTCTCCTTGTCACACAGACTCTCTTAAACAAAAGCCTTTTACTTTATCTCTTCAGAGCTGAAAAATACATAAATGAGAAACAAGTCTGACTATCTTCCCTTAGGGAACAATTCTACTCCCACTTACATTAAGGAAATCATAAGGTGGTGGAATGATTCAGCAGGGTGGGTGTTAGGTTAGTAAGGTGTCTTCCATAAGGTTGGTGTTTATGCTGAAAAGAAAACAAGAAAGACTTCCAACCATTTCATTAAGTCTAGTACGAAACACAACCTCCCCAAGGGGATTTTTCAACCTCTTAATCCTGAGGAGCCATTCTTGCAAGCTTTTCCCTTGAGCACTCATCACGGGGAAGCCGAAATGGTTAGAGTTAAAATATTGTTGACCGGAAACAGACTTTTACAGCTACAGGAACTAGGTCTTAATTTAAAATAAATTCCACTAAAATCCCCAGTGACCCCAATGGCCAGTCACATTTCATTCAAGATGTAGGCTAGATCAGGATCCTCCAGGTTGCTTATGACACCACTATTCACATCTTTTTAGAGATTTTAATCTCCTATGATGCCACAGTATTGTCCTACTCCAGGTCACCCATGGTTTCCTTTGGTATTTTGCTAGTGATTCTCACTATGCAGGGGCCCCCTTCCCCTTTTCAAAATCTGTGGAGGTTCTGCAGTCTCCACCTTTAAGCCCTGACCAACTTGCTTGGTTTCAATGAACAATCTGTACATCTGCGAGTCACACCCACATCTCAACTTCTGTCGCTGACAATGGCTTGCAATCATGTTAAACGTGACATGGCCAAAAACCGATCTCTTTCTGATGCTGCCAACTAATCACATTCTCATACTCGCTCCAGCCTGTGTATAGAGTTACTTAGGACTCTACTTCCCTCCTGGACCACACAATTCCTGTCTCCAAATCTGCCACTTCATCCTCTATAATATCTCCAAGATCCAGTCTTTTTTCTCTGATGACGACTAATTATTCTGTCTCTGCAGCATTTGTTATGCCCTTCCCCTCACTATCATTTTGATCAAGTCCCTTCAGCACACACCCTGATGAGATCTTTTCCCAGTCCTGTCATTTTGAGTAAATGACTTTTCTCCTAAATCCCTCAACCGACTCTATCTCTTTCCATTTCATCATGTTCAAGAAACTTTTCCCACACACTTCACACATCCTTACTTTCCTTGCCTGTATTATCCTCCTGCATGACACCCTCATTGACCTCACCCTATAAAAAAAAACTTGGTATCAACACAATTTTTCTCTCTGGCTCTTTGAACTTTCTTTAATGACATTCCTTTTTTTAAGGAACGGGTGTTCCTTAACCCTTCCTAACTAGACGGTTAAGCCCCTACCTTATTCTTCATCTTTTGTAAAGGTCCCCTTGGTAACATTATAATACAATTATTATTATTATTTATAATAATAATAACAACAATGACTTTGGAAATAAAAAGTTTTGCCAATATTTAAGGACTGCCAAGCTAGTCACCTGGAAAGGGAGAGATACATAAGCTAGGGACTGAAGCCAACCGCTTCACCAGTTCACAACTGATGGCTGTGAAAATGAACACACAACCAAATCATGACTGTTTGTTTATTTTCCAAAAGCTTAACCAAAAAATCCAAACCCTTAATGGTAGGGCTGCCCGTTCTTCTGATCTTTTACAGTGTCTACAATCTACAAGAAAATCTAGTTTTAAAGAAAAGGATATATTAAAATAGTATCAAAAGCTTACATAGAAGAAAATATAGACTCTTAAGACACATATCAAAGATCCAACACGCACAATAATTTTAGCTGGTTCACAAAAGCAGTGGATCTCCTAAAGGAGACCAGGGCTGAAGAACTGCTGTATTCTCACTACTGCTGCTGCTGTATTTCATGACCCCCTTGCAAATTCCAGATGATGCTTAGAAATGAAGCTTAGATAAGCTTCCAGACACCAATCATCAGTAAAAGGACAGTCCTACATGTTCAAAATATGGTTTGAAACTTTTGATCTAATGCAACACTGAAACAGTTTGGTTGTTACTTTCTGGATGAAGTCAACTAAAACTTTACAGAGTATCTTCAGAACTAGATAGACTCCACCTTTTTAACTAATACCCTTTTGCAACATAATTCCATGCTACTAAGAAAAGTATTTGTACTGTTAAGAATCTGCAAATGGGATTTACTGCAAAAGTAATCCTATCAGCAGTGCATGGGGTGCTTTCCAGGCAAATACAGGAGATAACCTTCCGCTCCAAGGAGTTATGAACTACATCAGATACACGAGTGACAACCGCCAATGGAAGCATGAAAGAGTAAATAAATGATAATAGGGAATAACAAAGAAAGCAGAGATATTTTTCATACTACTGACTATTGATTATTCTAATAGTTCCAATCTTATAATACCAAACTTTAGGGCTGTGAAGACTAGGAAGATCAGAGGAATAAGGATCTTCAGCCTCGGTATCTCACAATAAGTCTCATCATACTTTACTACACTTTAACAGAGACAGAAGAATTAAAAACATAAATAAAAAAACCTACAAGAACTTCATCTTCATACATGCTAGATGCTCCAGCGTTAACTTCATATAGCAAGTTCTTAGATACATGACCTTAAAGAGATACACAGATGAAGAAACAACTGGAGTGTTCCTAGTATCTATATTTTCATGGAACAAATATGGAGCATGGGGAGCCAGAGATAAGTGATGCAAAAATTTCCTGCCATAAATACCTGCACTGCCAGAGAGCGCTATTGTGACTTGTAAGCCAAAACAATGTTCAAAAAGATATCTTGTCACATGAAAGACTAATTTGGATCCAACATTGTAGCATGCTTGCCTCCAAGGAGAGCACTTTCTTGAATTCATTCTTTTAGACCCATTAATGAATCTATAGCTTTTGCTATAGTCAAACGTGTGCATCTTTAAACCACATTCCAAAATATCCATACGGACAAAATTCTGAGCATGCACTTGTATTAACTGTATGTTACCAAATCAGTCTTTATTCTGATTTCCTACAACCCCCATGCTTTCTAATTTTTCACCACCTTAACTCTATGCTTCCCATTCCCAAGCCTGGCCCAGTCCCACATTCACAGCACTCTCTTTGCACCCAGCTTCAAAATCCCAATCTGCTTGTGTATGCTCCTGGAGACCTCAGCACTCTGATGCTCATTGCTACTTCTCGTCACCCTGCCCTGAGTAACACTGCTCTCTCTGCTCCAGCATCTATGCTTACATGCAGCTTGAACACCATTTAGAGGCTGAACCTGACCCAGACCTGCGGGCAGGGCCTTACCTCAGACTTCTGGCTGTGTTGCAGCCTCTCCTACTCTTAGTCCCATACGGCAGAAGCTGGTGACCCCAATGCACGAACCACCAACCAGTTATACTTAAGCACATGAATTCACAGCAAGGGATAGAGGCTTTGGTACTGCACTGCTTACAGAGCCCCACATTCATACGGCGCCCACCAGAAGACATAATCATAGCTTTGTATGGCCTGCTCCCATCATATAACCCACGTCCCATGCCTCACCATTATACATCCCAACACAGCACTACTAAAGAAAACAGAGGGACTAGGAAGTCATCAGTTGCCAAGCTACATTTGAGAACTAAAACACAGTCTGCAAGCTGTTCAGTCTATTCTTGATAAAGTTTTCCAAACAAGCATTATTAACACAGCTGTACCTGCATGTATGTGCATGTGCAAAACCACTCCCTTGCTACTACTCTAACTATTTTTGATGTGAGGACTCTGCTGAGAACTTTCAAGCTGATCTCTCAAGGTCCTCACAAATAGATAGCTGTTTGCATACAGGGGCTGATTTCAGATTATTTCAAGTGACTTCACAATACTTATCAAGACTGTCACTATTTTCTTTCTTGGTTCACATACGGCCCTCATATTCAAAATATCTGTTTTTGTTACATGCCAAAGAACCGATACAGTGCAGTGCAGATACAGTAGTCCTCTATTAACAATGCAGATTTTTCCAAGCACTCACCATATTAAAAAAATTTCAAAGAAAACTTAGAGCAGAAATAGGAATACTGATCAGGTAATAATAAACAATTGTGCACATATAAAGATACCTGTTCAGACCTTTACAATCAGTAATAAAATAAGTGAGCTTGAAATTATGTCTTATGGTTCTGTTCCATTGTTCTTTTACAATAGTTAAAAGTAATATACAATCATTAGCATTAAAGTACCAAAGCATTCACAGGCAATTTCGTAAGAATGCCTGTGTTCTGCATCCAAGATGACTTAAGATTGCCAAATCTAACACAAGCAATTTACATATCTAACCACAGAAGGATTAGTAATAGGGTCATTTTGGACAAGAATGTTGTATTGCTATGTCACTACTGCAAATATTCTTAGTTTAGCTTCCACCCCAGAGCTTCTTAGGATAAGGAAAGCTTCATTACCAGAAAGAATCAATGCAGCCTACTACAACAAGGGAAGAAAAACACATTTAGATTAACATTGAGTAAAATTTGAATTTTAGGAGCTTTTCAAAGACTGTGAGTTGGTGAGGCTGATATTTTCAATATTTTACCCCTTAACCATAAGGATTGAAAAGTGACTGAAAAATCAGAACTAAGAAACATTTTTCCTACTTTGACAGTGGAAAACACCAACAATTTTGCATTAAAATAAGTTGGCAGCACAATAGTGGAAAGATAGAAACTGCCTCAGGCCTGCACCTTTCTGCTATCTACAATGATTCTCCCTCTATCAAAGACAGCATTTAGCTCAAAGTAGCACAGCTGAAACTATACCTTTGATATATTGGTATTTGTCTAGACTTTTGGAATGGAAATAAGGCCATCAAAGTTGTTAGAGTTTAAATGTGTCTTGTTTGTCACATTTATGAAATCGGCAATGTGTGCATAAAAATGGAAAAAAATTACGTGTACACCCACAAGTCTCTAAGCTTCACGTATCGCTGCAGGAAAATTATACAAAAACAGAACACGGAGGAAAAATAACTCAAAATTCAGATGAAGCACAAGGAAAGCAACTTGCATGTCTGTCAGTGCTTCAAGCACACCCCCACAAACAAAAAGTGTCCATCAAGGTTCATAATAATGGTACAGGCTCACACAAAAGTCAATACCTTCTTTCTGAGAGTAGTACATAAAAGACTCTTATAATCTTTCCATAACAAACAGCAAATACAGACTGATACTTTCAATGATATGTATCCTCTCAGCTCTCAGCAGTCAGTAGTCAGAGGCTTTGAGAGACGGAGGTTGCTTCCACATCCAGATCTTGATGGAATTCATTTCCATGATTTTGCCTAATTATCCTTTGAACCCATTCACATTTTTAACATCCAAGGTTTCTATGGCAGAGAGTTCCACAATTTATTTTATGTCTCTCAGAGACATAAAAGAATCCTACTAGATGCTTAAGGCACTACTTCCCCAATACTCACTCTGACCCAGAATCTCATACTAATATACCTATACATTATCAGATTTACTGGTCCACAGTTTCTCAATTAATCTTTGAACTCTTTTAAAAGAACTCAGCTGTAAGTGCTAGCTTCCACTCCTGCAGTATTTTGCTAATTGGTGTGTTAAAAGAGGCTTAAATATGTATTTCATCAACTTCAAATTTGAGTTTTGGGTTCCTGAATAAATTTCATCTCACTTTCATAATTCACTATTATTCATTCCATCTTTTTCTAAAAATCTTTGTTCTTAACATGACTTCCTAACAATACGGCTTTATGTATTCTTATCTACTTTATATTGTTGCATAGAGTTGCTAATGGCAATTAACTGAAGGTACACAAAATGAGGCCAGCAACTATGTTTAGGTACTGCTTTGGAAGAATAGCTGCTTTGTTTATGATATGCTATTACTTTAGTTTTAAAGTCTTTACCTATTTTTGTGCGCAAACGTTTGTTTTAAACAGCCTGAAAAATCAAAACATTCTGCATGACAAAAAAAAAAGCTCTCTTCAAACTCCAGTTAATCTCAACAATACAATCTCAATAGCAGTAGACTCATAATTCAGCTCTTCTTGATGAAAGATCAGACTTTGTAGCACAGAACACGTAGCTGTGGGAAAAGCTGAAGTGGCACAAACAGATGATTCCAAGCTAGACGTCTGAATGGGCAAGAGGAGGAGAAATCTGTCATTACCTACAAGTATCAAATAGCTTTTGAACCGAAGAACTCCTAAAAGGCAAAAGAGGAATGCATTTAAAATATTATTTTCATAAGCTCTGAAAAGTAGGCCAGCAACATTCAGAAAGTAACACGAAATGAAGAGATAACCTGAAAAAAAATTAGTATTTTGATTTCTGTGCTGTTAATATTTTAATTTTGGTTGTCCTGAAAATTATTGTATTCTGAAAAGAAAGCAGGATAAAGGGCAGTGTTATCATCATATCACTTTCCTTTTCATAATTTTGCTGTTTATTACTGTCCAAACTTGCTACTGTTTTACTGTCCAAACTTGCTACTGTTTTTAATTTACATATTTGTTTTTATTTTCTTGTACAAAAGGGACTGTTTAACAAAGAAGACACAATTTGATAGGAAATTTAAATATACAGTCTTGTTTGTCACATTTATAAAACTGGCAATGTGTGCATAAAAATGGAAAAAAAAAATTATACATACACCCACAAGTCTCCAAGCTTCACTTATCACTGCATACTGGAGCCGATTCAGAACAAACCCCTCAACCTCTTTGTTTAATTTAACAGGAGATTGACCAATCTTCTTCATCAGAGCATATGTTCTCTCTGTAGTTGAAGGATCTGTTTCTGGATGCGGAACAATTTCAACCAACGGCACAAAATAAGGTGGATTTACCTCAAGAAGAAACACAAAAGAAGAATGTTAATTACAGAATCACAGAATGGTTTAGGTTGGAAGGGACCTCTAGAGATCATCTAGTCCAACCCCCCTGCTCAAGCAGGGTCCTCTAGAGCACACTGCACAGGATGGTGTCCACATGGCTTTTGAAGATCTCCAGCGAAGGAGACTCCACAACCTCTCGGGGCAACCTGGGCCAGTGCTCTGTCACCCTCACAGCAAAGAAGTTTTTTTCCTCAGGTTCAGACAGAACTTCCTGTGTTTCCATTGGTGCCTGTTGCCTCTTGTCCTGTCACTGGGCACCACGGAGAAGAGTCTGGCCTCATCCTCTCGACACCCTCCCTTCAGATACTTGTACACGTTGATGAGATCCCCTCTCAGTCTTCTCTTCTCCAGGCTAAACAGGCCCAGCTCTCTCAACCTTTCTTCAGAGGAGAGATGCTCCAGTCCCCCTCATCTTTGTAGCCCTCCACTGGACTCTCTGCAGTAGTGCCCTGTCTCTCTTGTACCGGGGAGCCCAGAATTGGACCCAGCACTCCAGGTGAGGCCTCCCCAGGGCTGAGTAGAGGGGCGGGATCCCCTCCCTCCACCTGCTGACAACACTCTGCCTCATGCAGCCCAGGCGACCATTGGCCTTCTTGGCCACAAGGGCACATTGCTGGCTCATTCATGATCAACTTGTTGTCCACCAGCACTCCCAGGTCCTTCTCTGCAGAGCTGCTTTCCAGCAGGTCAACCCCCAGCCTGTCCTGCTGCATGGGATTATTCCTCCCTGGGTGCAGGACCCTGCCCTTGCCTTTGTTGAACTTCAGGAGGTTCCTCTCTGCCCACCTCTCCAGCCTGTCCAGCTCCCTTTGAATGGCAGCACAGCCTTCTGGTGGGTCAGCCACTCCCCCCAGTTTAGTATCATCAGCCAACTTGCTGAGGGTGCACTCTGTCCCTTCCTCCAGGTCACTGATGAATACCTTAAACAAGAGTGGACCCAGGACTGTCCCCTGGGGGACACCGCTAGCTCCAGGCCCCCAAGTAGACTCTGTGCCACTGACCACAATGCTCTGAGCTCAGCCATCTAGCCATTTTTCAATCCACCTCACTGTCCACTCATCCATCCCTCGCTTCCTGAGTTTACCTACAAGGATGTGATGGGAGACAGTGTTAAAAGCCTTGCTTTTGATTATCAACAGATTTAATTATCAACAGATAAATAGACCCTCTTAATATAAAGTATCTTTGTAATTTTTTAGTAGTGCAGGTATGTTCTAGTGAACACAGCAAGCCTGATCTCTAGGCCCAGAAAGCATTCACCAGTGCAATAAGAGCTGAAGTATTAATTCAAATAAAAAGACAGTCAGTCTTGGATGATTAAATCTAATTCTGTTTAACTCTAGCAAAATTCACTGAGCTGCTTTAAGGATCAGTGCAGCCCAACAGTACTAGAAGACTTTATACTGAATATCTGATGTTTTGCCAATATTCAAGCTGGTTTTTGTTGTAAAACACATGGCCATCACACCTCTTTCTGAGCAAAGTAAAGTGTTTTCTTTTAGACATTCATGAAATTTATAACAAAATTATTGCTGCACACCACCTGTAAGCTGCAGCACTTCAGAGATAAGCTGCTACTAGCCCAAGCCTAATATATGCTAATCCTATTAACAGATATCACATAAAACATACTTCCAAAAAAGTTACAGAACAAGTTACCTTCAAACATTGTACCCACTGAAAAAAAAAAAAATTACCTCTCCTCACTCTTCCCCAACATCATTTGTTATCAAACCAAGACCTTTGTGTAATATATTTTTGAAGTAATACACAGCTAACTAAACTTCTTGAATTCTAAAGACCATCTTAGAAACAGCTATAAGTTCTTTAGGTCTCTAGAGTTCCGGGCAGTACATAACGCACGCTCCTTCCAAAAGTAATAGTCCTTACGCCATACTCTTAAGGTCTTAAATGCCGCTCTCGCACTCATTGCCAGCCAGCAGACAGACCTGACATGTCATAACTGACTATCAGAAATAACATTAATACAAAGGATGGTAATTAAGTACTGATTCTTTCACCATGCTCCATTATAGTCAACTGTTTTTCTTTAACTGTGCTCATGTAAATGCAAATACAGGACTTAGTCACAGCAGTGCGTGAGCAATCTTTCCTCTCTGTCTGTTCTTTCCTTTCAGTATTTAAAGGTCCCCTTTACTGCAGGAACTGACAAATGCAAGTCTGCCATAAGGTTATGTCTGCTGTAACTACTGACGTGACACATTTACTTCATTGCCTTTCAAGTGCCTTGTGTTCCAGCACAACCTTTCTCACCCGAAACCCCTTGGCAGTGCCACCAGCAAAGCTGAGAACAGTGTGATGGACAATTAGTCACAAAACCATGCCAGGCAATTCAGCAAGACCCCAAACACTGCAAGCACCAAAGAAGGTGCCTTCTCTGAAGGCTTTTCTAACCTGCAAGTATATCACAGGTCCTAATCAGGAAGAAAACAAGTGAACTGTTGAGAGAGACGGAGGCTATTATGAATTTCTTCCAAGATTACTCTTGACAGTGATCTTATTGAAATATTTTATTTCATGCACTTGGCACAAAGAGTACACGGGTGTGCTAATGGGCAAGCTGAGGAGACTTAGGAAGACAGTTTCTTGGTAGTGAGATAATGGATGCTGGTAAAAATTAAAAGCAGTAAAAATGCAGGTGGAAGGGTTTCTAAAAATGAGAAGGGAAATGCAAAGCCTTTCTTAAGGGAGTAGAAGAGTTCACCTTACTTAGCCTAACAAAATGAAAGCCAAGAAAGGATATACCAAAGCAAACACAAACAATAAGCTATCAGCAAATATCAAATGAATTTTAGTAGACCAATAATATAACTGAAATCAAAACTAGAAGAGAGAAACAACTTCCAATAGGTGTAGTGGAGTTAAAAAAAACCTAACAGATAGAACCTCATATATTTTTAAGGTAATGTTATTATGTGGCTTCCTGCACAGCAAGGGACTTCGCTCATTGGCACACAGTCTCCTCTAGTTCCATTTTCTAGCTGACCTAGCAGGTTTATACAGTACGTGAGAAAAAAGTTGCTATGCAGAAGAGCTCTACCCACACACTGCCTGAAACTGCTTGCAGAGAACAGCTGTGCCTGTAAGTACCATGTCCATTTCTATCATACAGCTGCACTACCGAATTTCCTTTACTTTTTCCAATTATTGAGCGTATTGCTATGTTAAGTCAAGTGATGAGCTGCTTCTGCCTGCTGGGCATTTGATTCCATTTCTCTTCAGCAGACCCACCTGTGCCAGAGGCTTTAAAACTTTAGCCTTCAATTTTTCTGATATCTCAAATTTCACGCTTGTTGTTTTCAGACCTTCTTCCTGAGCTGCTTACTTCTTCCAGCCATCCCTCCCCACATCCTAGCCGTCTTGTTCAAAATGTTAGCAAGGTCACAGTTAAAAAAACAACACACACACACACACACACATACACACACACACACAAACACACCAAAGAGCACAGCTATTGCAAAGCAAGCATGTTTCCTGACACAGCAGATACGGAAAGGTCTCTAGAAGTGTACACCGGCTCACAGGTTCACTAGTACACTCACCTCTCAGTAAGCAAAGCCAAGATTTCTAAGAAAATAGCCTCAATCAGACTGCAAAGGCATTTCAGAATAATTAGGCATTTTAGGGCAACCTGAAGCATTTACTTTGGAAAAAAAGTCACTTCATCTCATGGAATATATACTTTCACAACAGCAACACAGAAAGTTTATGGAGGGATTACCTACCTTCCCAGATCTTATCAAAAATGCTTTCATAAGTGGCTCTTACAAAGACTGCAGCTCAAACTAAACAGGTCAACCAGTACGACTGACTTGGGAAAACAGTAAGAAAGAGTAACATAAAATGAAAGACTGATAAATCAGTAAGAATATGAAGAGATCCATGATCTGGTAAGAAATCTTAGTTATGGTCATAGCTACTTAACACAGAAACACAGAAGCGGGGTCATTATCTCTTCTCGCGCTACAGAAAGTGATGACCCTAGAAATAAGTGATAAGGGACTACCAAATTTTAGACATAAGAAGGCCTAAGCCTAGGCACAGATACATGCTTTGAAGCCTAACTTGGCTTCTTTTTTGGAATTAAAAGGGGATGAAAACTAAATTATATGGAAAGAAACCAATGCTTTTGTTCCTTTCGCTTCTCAATCACTCCAAAGCACAAGATAAGAGTAGGAAAGGGACTGACCAAAGCCTTTGATAGTGCAGCATTAGGCTTTAGGTAGATGGAGAGACATAACACTAAAGTAGTGCTGTATTTTGATATTTGTACTGCCACTCTTGAGAACGCCCAGGGAATTGGCATTTTCTTCACACTCCTAGATGAGTAGGGGGCAAGTCATCCCAGCCCTGCTGTTTACCTTTCTAGACTGCATACTATCTTTCTTAAGAAAGTCCTTCTGCGTTGCCTGGGAAATTACCTCCCAGTCACAACCTCCGAAGGATGTCCTAGCGAGATGAAATTCATTTACCAAGTTGCAGACAGCAGAACAGCACCTGTCTCCAGTTACTGCAGGTTTTCATGACAACAACCCTCCTAACTGGTCTGTCAAATATTGGACTGACATTAGGTTAGCAAACTCATTAGCTATTCAGTAGTGGAAATCAGAAGCGGAAAGGCAGTGGTGAAGACAAAATGCTCTTCCATGCTGAGCAAAGATGTGATAAAGCTGCCTGGCAGCTCCACACCAGTCTCTACAGAGTCACAGACGAGTGCCCTTCAGCCTTTTGAGGGTTCTGCTGCCACCTCTAGTCTTGCCACCTATGCATCTCTGCCTTGTCCCAGCCAGTCAAAAGGCATGAACATTTAGCTTCAAATACAATTTATTCTGTTTCATCCACCTGCTTTTCCTCTTCAGGTATATAGCTTCTGCATCCAAAGTCTGATGAAACCAGAGCGAAAACCTTCTGTCTTTTATCTCCTTCAACTATCTATTGCATGTGCTGAAATGCACAAGCAACTTCCTGTTTGGGTCCTCGCTGATACCCAGCGGCAGCTGGAAAAGGACACTGGAAAAAACTAATGGATGTTACAATGGGAATGTAGGGAATTTTATAGGTTTGACTCCAAAATACAGAATTCTTCTATTTTGAGAGACATTAGTTTGAGTAACACACAGCTGTATAAGCACAATGACTTACATGGAAAGTATTTTGAGTCAATGGTACAAAAGGTGCACACATCCTCTCAATTTAGTTTACGCTGTTGCTCATAGAACAACCAAATTAAAGCATTTCTGAAAAGTCAGGCCCCACACACTACACAGTGGCATATAAGCACTTCAAATATCCTTCAGTATCTCTCAGTCTGCAAGAAAGAGCTTGGGAGGCAGAATAATTAAATGGCTGTACTAGTAACATAGAAATAAAACGTGCCAACGTACTCACAGGATGTGACACAATACACTGCTTGACATGTTTAAGGCCAGTGAACAACTTGGTAGGTAAGAGACAAGAGGTTGAGCTGCTCAGGATAACATTGTCATCAATAATAAGATCTAACTGACCAAAAATCTTCTTTTTCAGATCTAGGTTCTCCGGAGTGCATTCCTGGAATAAAAACAAAAAACACTATTAGAAGTCTTCTAGCTTAATAGCATTCATCCATACATTTCAAACTTCACTGATCGTACTTCAATACCTTGGGAATCACATAAATCATCTATTTTAAATACCTAGATAAATCAGCTTAGATATACCAGTGAGCCATAACACACAAAAATACCCTCCCACATATAAAGAAAAGGAAAGTACAAGAGTTTCTCCAGAGCAGGAGATGGATCACCACACACCACAGGAGATTTAACACAAAGCAGATGATTCTGCTTTGTATAAGCAGACTTTTATTCACGCACAGAAAGATAATGTAGTACAGAGGAGTAAGACCTATTCTCCATTTTATAGGGAACCTCAAATTAGAAGAGGTTTTCTTTCAGTCAGGATGGAAATGAAGAGGTAGGTATTACATCATACCTCAAAAGACAAGATTACCATCTCCAGAACTAAGGCATCAAATACCAACTTACAGTTCTGGAACCTGCTCTGAAATATCTGTCGGGGAGCTGCAGACTTAAAAAGCTTAAGTATCCCCACTGATTTCAACTCTGAAAAAGATCTCTGAGTCAGAATGCACGCTATCAAAACTTTCCTCAAAGCTATTGAGCACGTTCAGTTCTGAAGTATGGTATGAAGCTTAACAAGTATGAGCAGACAGCCACCGTCACTGCAATTTTAGAATTATCCCCAAGAGCTATCTGAAAGAAAGCACACGGAAGTCCACCAGTGTGGGAGCAACAAGAATACGGGAGAATAAGTCCAGCAGATCCCACAATCAGCAGGACAGACTTCAGCCTCACCAGGAGAAAATGGGAACAGGAATTTTCCCTTCAAAAAACAACTTACCTTCATTCCCCTATCTGTTTTTTAGAACAATTACTTGCTATCTGTGTTCTTGTTCTTGAACCAGGCACAATTCAAACAGGATCCCATACTTGCAAAATCTCAGCTTTCCTCCTAAAACATAGAGAAAATACCTCTCCATGCTTTTCCAACCCTAACCTTTTCCCACCTATCAGCATTTTATTCTGTCCTTCCTATTCAGTGAATGAAGGTGGGGAAAAGGTTATACATTTAATATAATATGAAGTTATTCGTTTAATACGTGTAACTTCAGATAGACTCTGTAGCAGGAA